CTAAGTTTATCAAAGATTTTCTATGGCTTAGTGTTAAAAATACAATTCTTTTGACTTTAAGGTCCCTAGTTCGAGTTGCATTAATACCATATATATATTTTTTCTTTTTTATATAATGTTTGGTTTAGTTTTGATGAATTTTCTTTAATGGTAATCAATAATAAAATATAATGATGCTTTTATATATATATATATATATATATATAGCATTTTAATTAATAAATAATAAATTATTATGATACATAATATGACAAATTTAATAATATAATAAATTGTATAATCAAGTGATATATAATATGATAAATCTAATAACATAATAGCTTCATATTTTTCCAAATGTAATCAATAATTAAATATTACGAGATAGCATTTCAATTAATAATTAATAAATATAGTATAGTAAATTGATAAACATAATATATTGTATAATCAAGTGATAAATAGCATAATAAATTTAATAACATAATAGTTTAATTAAATATAGTATGACAAATTTATGAACATAAAATATTGCATAATCAAGTGATATATAGTATGACAAATTTAATAATATAATAACTTAATTAAACCTAAGTTATATATATATAATCACACATTTGTATTGATCATTTATTACAATAGACCCTTATACCACTATGATTGCGGGGAGTCTCCTCATTGTTGGTGCTAGTACTCTCGGTTTTAAGACCATGAGCGATGAGTTTTGTGGTTAACCCTTGAAGGTGAAACTGAATTATCAGTTGAGAATACCAGATAGAGATCTGATGTGAAATCTGGCCTTCCTTCTAGCGTCAAATTGTTGATGCGTGATTTTGACACCAACGACCTCGCACGTGCAAAGTGTTAAAAGAGTTGTAGAAATTACATGCGATTAATTAGGGAATTTGGGTTAAGGTCACAATTGCATGCAAAAACTGAATAATAAATGAGACAATCAGAGTTTTTATAGTGATTTGGATTCTTAAAGCTATTCCTACATCCACTGTTTTATTTTATATGAGTGTTCTTGGTGATTAGCTAAGTTACAAGAGGTCATGAATAGCGAATAGAATTACAATAGCTTGGTTTTCAGAGAGAATATCAAATCAGTCTTTTTCCTGTAGGTTGTCTTTGCTATTTGTTGTGTTAAGATCAAAGAGTCTGATCATTCATTTAATTCATCCCAATTTTGTGAGGGGGAAGTCCTCTATTTATAGCTGCTAAGCTCAAGATAATGATTATAAGTCTGCAAGTGGGTAAGTGTCGTGCAAGTCCTTCCTTGTGTTCTATTGGTTGATAACTTAGGAAATATCCTTAAATTATGTAGGACTTGGACAGGTGGGCAGATCATATTCATTCACAAACAAAACTTGAGTCTGTTGGGTTGGTGATAGCCATATTCTCTCTATCTTGGGACGAAGTGGCAGATTCTGGGCGGCATAAAGCCTTCCTAAACTTTAACTGGTACTCGCTGATGTAAGCTTGCGTTAGCCCTTATTTTTTAGGCATAACAACTACATTATTGACCATACCATATAATTTTAAAGTGATTTATACTTTATGATTATATAATTCCTAAATTATTACCACAATATGGGATAAAACAATATTTTGGTACAATAATAATGAATTGTATGTGTATTGTGTAATAATATTTTTATTACTATAAAATATTTTTATTATTTGCACATAATTATTTTGTATTGTACTTTAATAAAAAAAATTTGCATGGAACAAAATACTGGTTTTTAAAGTACCATTATTTTATCTAATTAAATAAAAAATTTAAAATAAATATGTGAATTTTTCATATATATATATATATATATATTTTTTTTTTTTTTTTTATAATTATTAAGAGTTGCATTTAGGGGTGTTAAAAAAAGTGCAAAAATCGAATCGAACAGCTAACCGAACCGAAAAAATGGTTCGGTTACGGTTCAAAAAATTTAAAAAACCGGATTTTAGGTTCGAGTAAAAATGAAAACCGGTTAACCGAAACCAGTTTTTTGAATCGGTTTATATATAGTAATAATAATAATAATATTAATATCTAAATTTGCACAATTTCTTTTGTTATTTTCCATTAGGACTTATTTAGTTACTTTGTTGTTTTATTATGGACGTTTCATCACGGACTTTCATTTTTGTTTAATTTTGGAATTTTATTTGTATCAATTTTTAATGTATTGTTAATTGTGGTCAATGGATATATATGAGTGTTTGATTTTTATTTGGATATGAATGTTTGATTTTTATTTGGATATGTATTGTTGGTGTTTACAATTTAATTTTGGAAAAATTAAAAAAAAAAAGCTTTATCTAATAAAAAGGGGAAAACTGGTTCAAGACCGATTAACCGGTTTTTTCAAAGCGATTAATCGGTTTTTCGATTAACCGAAAAACTGGTTTTCCCCCCAAACCGATTCGGTTCAAGAAAGCTGTTAATCGACTCGGTTAATCGCTTTTAAACACCCTAGTTGCAGTAATCCTATTAATTTTTGTTAAATAACAAATTTCGTTGAGGTTTTTGATATAACTGAATTTCCCAATATCGAAACTCACCCATGGACCTAGTTAGTAAATACGAGTACGGCAAAAAAACGGTACGGGAATTTTACGAGTATGATACGGCAAATGGTGAAAAATACGTTTGTAAAAATTCGGTCATAAAATTCGGATACGGAAAAAATACGATTCGGATATATACGGGTTTAATACGACACATTGTCAATAATACGTTTTGAAAAATACGGCAATAGCAATCTTGGTTTTAGCACTTTTCAAAACATCCCCATTTAAATAATCCATTGTGGTCGACCCTACAATTTATTTTCTTTTAACTTTAAAGGATTGAACAATATACTAAGACTAGTATTTTTATCCTTAATTTTATAGCTACGCATACAAAGTTTGGATTCCAATTAGTATAGTTGTTTATTTCTGAATTTAATTGGACAGTACATTCAAAGGTCAATAATAATATTTTATGAATCTAAAACATGCACAGTGCACATGGGTTTACAATTTGCATTTGGCGTTGGTTGTAAACTGATGGTTTTTTGCTTTTTTCTTCTTTCTTTAAGTATCTGCCAATTCCAAATCCAAGCCCGACAATATTATTTTTATGAATTCATTTGCTTTCTTTTTGCAGTTTTGCCTTTACCTTTTGCTTTCATAGATGATCTTATTCTTTTTATTTTGACCCATACAACACAAACAACACAACTAAATGAATATATGTTAAAACAATACCAAATATAACTCTCACAAGCATTTCATCAAACATGTTTCAAACAATCATCATCCACCACACATAACAATCCATCAATCCACCAGCCCCTATTACTACTACTCACCACACACACAAACACAAACAAATCACCAACATACAATTTCAAAGAGAGTTAAAGAGAAGAAAAAGTGTGTAGCTTGAGCTTGAAGAGTTGAAGTCTTGGACTTAAAGCTTGGAGAAGAGAGTTAAAATTTAAAGAGAAGAGAAAGAGATCAAGACTCAGAGTCAAGAGATGAAGAAAAAAGAGTTGAATTGTTGAAGATTTGCAGAAGAGATGAAGACTGTGGAAGAGAGAACCGAGAAAGAGGAGAAGGAGATTTTCTTTAATTTTAGTCAAACCCCACCAAAACGACGTCGTTTTGCCTTATCATGTAATTATTTTTTTGTCAGCAAAAATTCGGCAATAATTCGGGTATAATTCGCGAATTATACGGATAGGGTATATAATTCGCGAATTATACGAAAGCCCTAATAAAATACGTGAATTCACATTTTATACGGGAATTATACGGCTAGCCGTATAATTCGCGTATAAAACGCGAATTTACTAACTAGGCTCCTAACTAATGTTTATTGTCTCTCAATACCAAGAAAGGAAATGTCATAAATGCTCTTTCAATGCGTAAGAAAAAAAATAAACCCATAAACTTAGTAGATTAAGAAAATACCAAATAATTTAATTTAATTATAAATTAAAAACATACAGTAAAACCTCTTTATAGTGATACTATATATATATGAATAAACTCTATATAGTCATAAAAAGTTATATTCCCAATTTAGGATAGTTATAAATAAGAATAAACTCTACATTATAATAAGTTATAATTTTTCTAATTCCCGTCTTAAGGAAAATTGCCTCTATATAGTAATAATTATCTGTATATTGTAAAAAAATATATGGTATGTTACATTAAAGGTTTAAGATGAAATAAAATATTTATCTAAAGTTGTTTGAGACAATAATTTATGTTTTAGAGTTGTTATTACATCTTTTAACTTACGGGTAAATTACCTAGCATGAACATTTTCTTGTTAAAGCTAAAATATGGCTAGCTTTTCAAGCATGTTTAGAGCTTCTTAACATGAAATTTTTTGTATTTCTGTATTATTATTTTCATAATTATTTCATTTCTCTTCTTGTTTAATTATAGAAATGATTTCTTCTTTTGTTAAAACATACATGACTTGTTACTCATTTGGATGATTAAAGAAGACATTAATATTCGTTCGATTAGTGTAGTGAAGTTATCGAATCTGATCACTCAATTTTACAATGACTTTTTGATTCTCGTTATTTACTTTATTTGTAACTTGCAATTCATCGACATTGGGGGTCCTAATTTTGTAATGCTTAAAACAATTGACAATTGTCTATGACTTCACATCAGTTGTCATGTAGCAACTGTATTTACAATTCTATCAAGGACAATTATCTTTGTTGGTTTTAAAACACGATCTTCTATATGTTTCAAAAGTAGACAATTGAAGCGCTGAATTGAAACCCTAATATTATTAAAACATGAATTGAAATCCTAATATTGTACTACTAAAATATGAATTTTGAAATAATAAATTTTTTTAACTACACTTCTATTAAGTAATAACTTTTTTATAATAATAAAATTAGTTAGTTCCACCACCATGATTACATGGAAATATTACTGTATATTGTTTCCAAAAATAATTATCAATTAAATAATTTACATAGGCCAATTTAATCATTTTCCATCCTCCCTTAAACACGTTTCGTGATCACGCGTATTTTACACACAACACTTTGATTCCTCCACCCAAAATTCATTTTCAATTCGTTCTCATTGACGCTAAGCGACCACATTCCGGTGAACGGAGTCTTCTCCGGACTCCGCCGATCTCCAACCCCTGCCTTTTCCTCTTTTAATTCAATGCCTTCGTTACCCAGTGGACCAGATGCAGCGCCCTTCACGGCAATGGTACTGGTTGAGTTCGGTGAGGTGGGCATGATAACTCTGGGCAAAGCCGCCATGAGTAGTGGCATGAGCAACTTTGTTTATGTTGTTTACTATAATGCCCTTGGCACCTTCATTCTATTACATTACTTCCTCTATCACACCTACAGGTCTCTTCTTTTCTTTTCTTTTCTTTTTTAATTTTAATTTTAATTTCCAAATTCTCCTTATGGTTATATTAGTTTCTTCTGTTGTTTGTTTTGTGCAGAAGCAAGAGCCTTTCTCTCACTTTCCCGCTCCTTTGTAAATTCTTTCTTCTGGGCTTACTTGGGTAATGCATTGTAGTGAATTACTCAAATGGGTATTGTTTTGTTTTTAATTTTGTTATTAGTTTATGTTAGACTAATTAATTATTTTGGGAAACAGATAATCAGACCTGGGAAAATTTCTGTGGCAGGATTTGTTTTGTGCAGACTTTTGCAATTACAGGGATCAAATACAGCTCTCCAACTCTTGCTTCAGCTATGGGTAATCTCATTCCAGGAATTACATTTCTTCTTGCCATTGCTTTCAGGTATTGGCTTCGTTGGTTGATTTGAATTTAATGCATTACACCATTTTCATTGTGGACTCTTATGTAAAAGAAATTAATCTTACCCTGTAACTTGGATTCTTGGGCTCCATGATCAATATCTGTAAACTGATTTCAATGGTTTTGGTGTTGAATCAGGTATAAATTTCGAGATTGAAATGTATGAAATAATTAAAATAATCAGACTAAAAAAAAAAAAAAAAAAAGAAAGACATCATTTAATGTAGCTCAATATATTTTGCCTATGCGCAGAAGAAATGCATTAGTAACGTTGGTATAAATATAGAAGAGTACAAGCACGAAGTCATCTGATACCTATCAGAACTAGAAACTATTCGCTGTTTCACTGCCTAATGATATCATAAATGTTAACCTGGTGTTTGAGGCACTGCTCTTACATCTTTATGGTAAAAATATCTTGTGAAACACTCTCATACTTTTTTCTTATCTGTTATACTCTAGTTTTGATTCTCAACCCATATATAGTGTCAGATTCTTACTTTGTACTCTTGTCATATTCATGTTTCTTGTATCTTGTAGAAGTTTTGTTCTTTCTAGCTAGAAGAAGTTATAAAGTATTCATAATTATAGTTAAAACCAGACAAGGAAACTATCAGAACAAAATGGGCTGACGACCTACACCAGAAAAACTATGACGGATTAATCTGCTAAAAACACAAAACAAAGAAAATCTTTTTCTTCTGTCCTGAAGGAATGCTAGAAGAACAATGAAGGGGTAATCTGTTAGTAAAATATTTTTCTCCTTCCATTTGGAAGGGATATATAATTGTTATTGGGAAGCCCTAATAGTGATTCCTAAGGTAATGGAATTTATAACAGACAGATCTTGAATGATACTCTTTGAGGATTATCTTATTTTTTCTTCTATTTCTTCATTAACTCGTATTTGATCTTATGACGGTTAAATTATTGGTGCTAATTTTACTTCCTGTCAAATATTTATTTGATTAGAATTTTATTCTATTGTAGTATGTCGAAGATTACCATTCTTTTTCTTTCTATTGATATGCATCTTTGACTGTTGAATTTCAAGGATGGAAAAGGTAGCTCTTAGAAGCAGAAGTAGCCAGGCTAAAATCCTTGGTACCATTGTATCAATATTTGGCGCATTTATAGTGACTCTCTACAAGGGCCCTGCACTCATGAGGCTCTCATCAACTTCTAACTCATATTTTCATCTCCCTGTCTCACAATACTCGAATTGGGCTCTTGGAGGCCTTCTCCTTACAGTCACTTGTGTGTCATCTGCAACATGGAAAATTTTTCAGGTACAGACTGCAACTATAAATACCGAACCGTTGTAGGGTTGTGGCATATGTCATTAGATATGAGCCGAAGGTGGATGGTTTGGACTTGATACTTGAATTTAAAAAAAAAAAAAAAAAAAAAAATACATGTATATGTATACCAGAAGAAACTAAAATTAGCATACAATACTTTCCCCAGAAAAGATCTTCCTGAGTTGCTTATAGAATGTATCATTTAGGTCACTAAATGATATAAAATGCTTAATATCGTTGGAAATAACCTGATTCCATTTCCAGGCAGCAACTTTGAAGGAGTATCCTGACAAAGTGACCCTAGTCTTTTTATCCTGTTTTTTTGGGACCTTGCAATGTGCTGTTGTCTCCCTAATAGTAGAAAGAGATTCAATGGCTTGGAAACTGCAACCTGGCATTCAAATGGCTGCTGTTGTTTATGCGGTATAAATAACTTCGTCTCTGTTTTTGTTTCAGTCAGTCATTCCAAGTTCAAAACTTTTAGTTTTTCTCCACAGATGTTTATAACAAGGTTATGATGGCATCTTTTATATTTTAAATATCTTCATACACTTTCTTTGTGATTCAATTCAGGCAATAGTGGGAACTGTTTTTCGTTCCAGTGTTATTGCTTGGTGCCTGTACAAGAAGGGGCCTGTCTTTGTTGCCCTGTTTAAGCCTGTTGCAACTGTTATTGCGGTGTTCACGGCAGTTGTGTTCCTTGGTGAAACCCCTCATCTTGGCAGGTAAATGTCATTTTACATCAATCTTGAATAAATATTGTGTTGAGTTGAAACTCAAACAAGATTGGAACAACTATATCATTTTCACACATGCACCTGCATTTCACATATGTACACATAGACATACACATGAAAGCTGAGTCATTGATATTAGCTACTGAATGATGGTTTTGCTTTTACTTTGGTCATTGTTGTTCTTAGAGCATGTGAAGAGAAACCGTAATCATATACAATGTTTTTGCAGTTTGATTGGAGCTATTGTAATTGCTTTCGGATTTTATGCGGTTATATGGGGACAGGCCAATGAAACCAACACGACTGCTGGCAATGTCACTAGCTTGGAAGCAAACCAGAAGTTTCCATTATTGAAAAATACATGATGGAAGAGAAGAGAAATAACACTTCACGTTTTGTCTGCCTGCCCACAAAAAATTAGAGATATACAAGCAAATTCACTGATTTTAGCTACGGTCATTCTGAACCTGATGAAACAAAATACTTGGGAAGATATCTAACAGCCTCAACTGTCTTACACTTTTGATCGGACCCTATGTGATAAAAGAAGAAGAATTGTTGGTGGACATAGAAATTCCATTTCAGGAAGCTAAATTGGAGGAAAATAACTGAATGTCTTTTATTATTATTTTTGAATTCAAGAGCATTTATCTCTTCACCTTTTGTCTGGTTGTAACTTGCAATGTGAAGTATTCCATACTTTCAAGCAGGCTTGATCCATAATATGAAGCAAAAGCTTGAATTTGCTAAAATATCACTTGTCATGAAAGATCTTTTCATATTGTAGTCTTTTTCTTATATTAGTTTATTTTAAAATTCCAGATATAATGGGCCATCATGTTAAAAATATTAAGGATTTGCTCTGTGTGTGATATCAAGAATTTGAGGTTTTATTTAGTTATATATATAGGCTCTTTTCTATTATTTCAACATATTAGGAGAATAAGCGGTTACAATGTTAGAATAGTGAGCGGAACTTTTCTTAAAATGTTTTTATGATAAATATTTTGCATTAATTATGTTAATTAAATTATATTTGAAAAAAAAATCTTAAATTACATATAATTCATGTTTATTTTAGATACATTTAATTACGAATGTGATTTTGACCTCTTTCTTATTACATGTAAATTAAAACATTTATAATCAAACCAATATATTATTAAATTTTATTTTAAAATGTTATCAAAATTTATTGTTTGATAAACATGCATGTTGTTTCCCGAGGTTAAAGTCAGTTAAAATATTTTAATTTAACAATAATGCTACGGACACCGGCATTTTGCACCGAATATTTGTACCGGCCTACGTGTAAGACATTTCTAAATTTTTTAACAATTTTTTTCTAGTGAACAGCGTCCATCAAATTTGGACGGCAGTTCACTCACATGGACAGACGTCCATATTATATGAGGACGTCCATATACAAGGGACGGCGTCCCCCCTAAATAAAATACAATAAAAGTTTTTATAATTTTTTTTTTTTAAGTATGGATGGGCGTCCATTACATCCATACTTTAACAAAAAAAAAAAAAAAAAAAAAAAAAAAATTCTAAACAGTGATCCTGCATCTTCTTCTTCCTTCGGAAATGTTTACCTTCTTTGCTCTTCTTCTTCTTCAAGCCAAGCCAAAACTGATCGCCTCTCCACCCACTATTAATTTACTTTTCCAGATAACCATGATCCCTCTTTACACGCTACAAACTAGCCATAAAACCAATGCCAATAACTCAACTAAAGCAAACATCACACTGAGAAGTCTACACATCACAAAAAAACAATTAAAAAGAATATCCAGATAAACATGGATTTCAAAACAAAAACTTACTATCAAAACAATTTACTTTCATAAGGGACTTCTGTGGCAAGGAGATGGCATGCACTGCTGGTCAGGTCATTCGCTGCAAAGGTACGTCGTTTTCTTCTTTTTCCATGAATACGGTTTAACAAATATTCATGGAAAAAAAAGTGAAAGACTACTTTCATGGAAGACTAAAATAATGGACGGGCGTCCCGTCCAAACATTTTTTTTTTTTTTTTTTAAGTATGGACGGCTCACCAAAGTTTTTTTTTTTTTTATTATTTTCATAATTTATTTATGAACGGGTGTCCTTTAAATGGGGATGTCCGTCCCTTGTATATGGACACCTGTCCATATAATATAGACGAGCGTCCATGTGACTGAATGGCCGTCCAAATTTCATGGACTGAATGGCCGTCCAAATTTGATGGACGACCGTTCACTAGAAAAAAATTATAAAAAAATGAGAAACGTATTACACGCAAATCGATACATAATTTTGATGTAGTTTTTTCGGTGTTTGTAGCATTATTGTTAATTTAATGATGGCCTTTTCACCTAGACTCATGAATGGTTAGGTTTTGAGTTTTCAAAGAATGAGTTGATAATTTCATAATTGGAAAAATCTTATAAACTTGCGATGTGATGTTTCAGTGGAAATTGTAGGATGGTTTTGAAAATCTATCAATTTGTAAGTCACGTGCATGTCTTGACTTGGGTTACGTGTCGGTAAAAATATTTTTTTTTATTAAGGAAATTAAATGGATTTCTAGAAATTTTATGCAAGTTGCAAAACAGTCAAATGTTAAAGCTTTACAAAAACTTTATTCTAATAATATTTTATATTATAGTGGGATTAATTATTGAAAATAAAGTGTTGAGTTAAGAAAGGGTGCAAGTTAAAGAAACTCTAGAAAAGTCAATTTGTCTTTTATTTCATGCTTCATTTATACATAACCATGAGGATAAATACTGTTAGGGAAAGTTATTAGAACAACGAGAAAAGTATACATTGAGAAATAAAAGCATAATTTAGTAAGTGAATTTTAAAACACCTTACAAAGTACCCATCCCCCAAAGATCATATTACAAACCCCGATTTTAGATTTCAGTTATGGCTCTACACATGCATATGACAGATTCAATTGCTCTGCCTAGCGATGACTTCCCGCCAAGTATGACATGTTAGTTGTTCTACTGAGTGATGTTAGAGCTTGTTGGGAATGATAGTTTTTCCCCGCTCTGCCTGTGTGTGGAATGCCCACCAAGTATGATAGATATTCCTTCTATATTACATAACAAATATTTAGAATTAAGAAATCGTGATAATAATAATAATAATAAAAAAAATACCTTGATAGATAGTGTATTTAAAATTTATTAATTTCTAAAGTTATGCCATGAAGATAATTTAGTGGTGATATTGAATGGTTTTATCCGTATCATATTAACTGAAATGATATTAAAAGGAAAAATTGTTTTATAATCTTATTCACTCGCTGAGTCTTTCAACTAATCCTTTTATAAAAAATTTCCCCCTCCAGATCATCATATGCAAGGATCTAGCAGTGATTTGCACTCGAGGTTATAATGCCCACACGATATAGTTCATTTTGCATGTCATGTGCTTATAATGTAAATTGCATTGGGGTTATCATCCATAGACTTATTATATACATATTTACATATGTTTTGTTTGTAGGGCCTAAACCCAATATTTGTGATTTTAAGATTTAAAATTTATGATATGCACCATTTTGTTTAAAAAAAAAGGATTTGTTTTCAGAATTTATGATACGCACTATTTTTCGATACTCATACATGGCTCGTCTTGATCTCTTGAGTCTTATAAGAATGATAGGATCCCATGAGATAGAGAAGGCTAGGATATGTCCTATTATATATTATGTCTAGTTGGAGCAGTAATAATATGTATATGATTTTATAGTGTTTTATGGGAAAAGGCCAATGAGGAGGACTCTAGCTTTGCTGCAATTAATAGTGAGAGTAAGAGCCCTTTGTTGCAGAGCCTTAAAGTTGAAGATATACCTTTTCCCGATGGCAAGTTTTTCAACTATTAAGGTTAGTTATACTTACTGGTCTTGTGTTTGAGTCGTGAGAGTAGTAAATTTTATGTTTTGTCTAAAAAAAGTTAAAGATACATATGAGGCCTATTGAATCTAGCACAAACACAAATTAAATTGAATCCTTCTTCAAGGTGCAATAAAAATGGATATGGATGTATGTAAGCTTGCTAAGTTGAGAGCTAATGAAGAAGCTGAAACGGGAAGACAATAAAGAGCACAATTTTGGATGCCATATATGTAATTAAGCAATCAACTTAAGTGTTTTGGAGCTTATAATATTGGCCATGGCCAGTGAATCATTTTCGTTTGGACTTTCTGTCTAATTAAAGGCAAAAAATTACACCATTTATTAGGGGGTAATTTTCTTTTATCTTTTATAATTAAGGAAGTGGATTGACAAAGACTAAATACCGACTTTTCAATATCACAGAACCAAATTGTGACTTTCATCAAACCAAAGGTTGAACATATCCACAAAACTTCTTATATGGGAACTGAAAATAGGGGTGCTATATTTTCCAAATGTCTTTCAGATGTCACCTCTCATTCAAATCCAAAATGCAGGGTTTGAAAGCTTAATAAATATTAGCACATGCACATATAATATTTTAAACAGTGAAATCTAATTCTTCCTCTAAATATAAAAATAAAATAAATATCACATTTTGACTCAAAATAAATTATTAGCTACTTTGAGGAGAGGAAGATGGACAGGAGAAATCTATGGAAGGAGATATTACTCTTCGCAGCCATGGTTAGTTTAGAGTGCTCCGGCGTGGGCTTAACTGTAATCTACAAAGAAGCTACTTTGAAAGGAATGAGCAACTATGTCTTCGTCACCTACTCTTTCGCTATTGCCACACTTGTCCTCCTCCCTTTTGCCTTCTACTTTCGCATGTTATTTTCTCTCAATCTTCCAATCATCCAATCCTTTATATATATATATATGTGTGTGTGTGTGTGCGTGTGTGTGTTCACTGAGATCTTCTCAATTTCAATCTCTCTATTGCAGGAGTACTTCAACGGTGCTTCCATCAGTCAGGTTCCCGTTCATCTTTAGAATCTGCTTGCTTGGTCTTACTGGGTACTTTTCTTTAATCTTTTATAGTTTGGAATTGCTTGAAATCAAAGAGTTTTAATTAATGCTTTGGAAGGCAGGTCTTTGGCTATGATACTTGGCTATAAGGGAATAGCTTACAGCTCTCCTACGCTTGCTTCAGCCATGAGCACCCTCACTCCTGCTTTTACCTTCACACTTGCAGTCATTTTCAGGTTTTCGTTGTTTCTTCTTCCTCATTAATTTTAATTAATTCATCCTTAACATTTAAGTTATTGGAAATTCCAGTAGTATAATAGTATATAATATTTATAAAAGTGGTCAAGTCTGTGATTGTAAGGCCGAACGACTTATGCATACCTAAGGTTTATTGAAATGGTAAGTTGGTACCTAAAAGGTTTTGAAACGACAAATAGGTACCTTCCATCATGTTCTGTTAGTGATTTTGGTTAGATAATAGTGAAAAGATTAAAATGCCCTTGAAAGTTTAATTTTTAGTTTTCTATAAATTTAAAAATTTCTAAAAAACCCCCTAGGTTTGCTAATTTGACTAAACACCCCAATATATAAAAAATTTATAAAATAACAAAAACACCCCCGCCACCCCCGCAGTGCCAGATTCCGGCCACCACGCCGGAATCTGGCCGAAAAATTGCGTTACGACACAGACCCATCGGATCTGTGTCGTAACGCATAGATCTTTCATTTTCCGGCAAGATCCGTGGCTGATCTGGCCGGAAAAGACCAGATCTACGGCCAGATCTGGCCGTCGTGACCGGAAACTTGTCGGAAAATTATGTTACGACACAGACCCATCGGATCTGTGTCGTAACACGTCGCTTTGGCGTTTTCCCGCCAGATCGGTGGATGATCTGGCCGGAAAAGGCCAGATCTGGCCGGAAAAGGCCGAAAAAGGCCAAACATAGATCTGGCCTTTTCCGGCCAGATCCGCCTCGGATCTGGCCGGAAAAGGCCAGATCGGTGTGTTACGACACAGATCCGACGGGTCTGTGTCGTAACACAATTTTCCGGCCAGATTCCGGCGGTGGTGGCCAGAATCTGGCACTGCGGGGGTGGCGGGGGTGTTTTTGTTATTTTATAAAATTTTTATATATTGAGGTGTTTAGTCAAATTAGCAAACCTAGGGGGTTTTTTAGAAATTTTTAAATTTATAAAAAACTAAAAATTAAACTTTCAAGGGTATTTTAGTCTTTTCACTATTATCTAACCAAAATCACTAACAGAACATGACGGAAGGTATCCATTTGTCATTTCAAAACCTTTTGGGTATCAACTTATCGTTTCGACAAATATTGGGTATGTATAAGTCGTTCTCCCGTGATTGTAATTACTTACAACCACCCACTGAAATAGAGTTTTCAATATGCATTATTATTATTATATATATGTGGATGTGGTACTTGGATACTCCTATTGAGGGAGTTTAATATCTCTATGATTGGTGATCAAACAGTAAATTAATTTCTAAAAGTCATGTCGTGATCATAGAGAGAATCCACGCTAAAGTTTTCGTCAATAATACCCCTTATTTTCAAATAAAAAACAAAAGATGAAATAAAATAATGATGGAGTGAGAAAACAATAAAAACATTTTACAAAATTGCTACAGAAAATAAAAGCAAGATTTCTCAGACCACAACTCCGTAGTTGAACAACCATCTCCCAACAATTTTTTAACAGCGTTTATTTATAAAACTTAGCAACACAAATCCACCCAAATCACCTCCGCAGCTTAACAAAAATCAATCTTCTTCCACCACTTCATAAACCAAGAAAATAAAACCATCCAAAAGCCAAACTCAAGCAGCCACAACCGCCACCATTGCCATACTAGAAAAAAAAAAAAAAAAATCACGACTTAGCAAAACAAAAATTTGTTTCATCATTAGTCATTTCAATAAATAAATTATATTATTACATAAAATGTACATTTAAATTTCAATAAATAAACTTTATTAAACAAATAAAACAAACAATTAGTCAAAGTTTTGAGAACATCCATCAATCTCAAAAAGAAAACATGCATGATGTCATATATGGTTGTCCATGAAGTGGATCCAAGGGTGATTATTAGATTTCTTACTCTTGTCAGTTCCTTAATTTCTTCTTGGTGGTCATCTTCAATCTCTGTTTCTTTTTTTTTTTTGGATTTCATTTTCCTAATTACATGCCTAAAAAAGGATGGAAAAGCTAATTTTAAGGAGTGCAAAAACTCAAGCAAAAATCATTGGCACAATAGCATCAATATCGGGGGCACTGGTGGTGGTTCTTTATGAAGGCCCAACAATCTTATCTTCATCTGCTAAACATCCAACTTCACTTCAATTTCTTCTCGGCTCCTCGCTATCAAGCTGGGTCATTGGTGGCCTTTTGCTTTCTGTTGAATATCTACTTTTCTCATTCTGGTATATTATCCAGGTATTTTACTTATATATCAATCATTCCTAATTTGTTTAATGTATTTATTTTTATTGAATTTGTATCACATTAATTTATATACGTAAGTCCGTACGTGTAGTATTATTTTAAAATTAATTTAAAGAGATGTAAGTAAAGCATGAGTTCTCTCAATTAAACAGACTGAAGTGATTAAGATGTACCCATCAGAGTTCGAAGTTGTGTTCCTCTACAACTTGATCTCAACCATCATATGTGCAGTAATATGTTTCACGGCGGAAACAAATTTGAGTGCCTGGAGACTGAGTTCCGATATAGCAATAGTTGCAATTATATACTCGGTAAATATCTAATGGACTACCTCAAATATTGCAGACAGTCTAGGTAATTTAAAGAAAACCTGTAGTAATGAGAGATTTGTATTTCAGGGATTCACTGGAACATCACTGACCACTGTGGTTCATACTTGGGCCTTACACATTAAGGGGCCAGTGTACGTTACATGTTTCAAGCCATTGTCAATTGCCATTGCAGCTGTTCTGTGCTTCATTTTCCTTGGTGATGCTCTCTATCTTGGCAGGTAATATAATCAAGATAAAGTAGTCTATGGTGTCATGGTGGCATTACTGACGTAGTAGTATGCATGCCAATTATATTTAATAACTATCAATTACAATTAACTTAGAGATGCATGAGAGAAAAGAAATTCACAAAGTGACATAAATTTATTGGAAGATGGTAATACCCAAGTGGTATAAATTCACTGGAGGGTAGTAAGATTATTTCTATAATCTAACATCCCTCTCATTCTTCAATTTAATGCCGAATATATTTGTGTTTAATGACTTTTCCTAATATTATTAATTGCAGAGTTATTGGAGCAGTAATAATAAGTATGGGATTTTATGCTGTGATATGGGGAAAGGCCAATGAAGAGATAAACGAAGACGACTCTAGCTTTGATGATACTAACAGTAAGAGTAAGAGCCCTTTGTTGCAAAGCCTTAGAGACGTTGAAGATACACAGAGCTCTACTGAATCCTACACAAATTAAATTGAATCCTTCTGTAAGGTTGCATCAAAATTGATACTCATACGTTGTAACGATTGCAAAAAGATTCTAAAAATCACGTGTCATGATGAGAGATCCTTTTCACACCGCAGTATTTTTTAATTATCTTACTGCATATCACTTGAAATAAAAATAACTTTCTCAAACGCTTAGGTGGTTTCCACATAAATGTCATCATCTTGTCTGCAAGAAATATATATTACTGTTGTTAGGTCATGTTATACATCTCAGCCGATGTTTAAAAATAATATTAATTCTATGCTCTGATTTCATGATTTCGTAATCGAGAGAAGCAACATTTTATGGAATCAGGAATTAATACAAAATATATTATTCAAAAAACAATAAAATTGTTAATCATGTCGCTATCAGGCCTTTCTCTACCGTATAATATATAAATTTTTCTTTGCTTAGATTATTTAATATTTTATACAAAGGGAGGGATCCTTTTTATATAACGGAGAAGACGCAGATAAAAAGTTAGGAAATTTCTCAGAGATCAGAGAGGGAGATGGCTCGGAGAAACTTTTGCAAGGAAATAATTCTCTTCCTAGCAATGGTTAGTTTAGAGTGCTCCAATGTTGGCTTAAACGTAGTTTACATAGAAGCTACTTTGAAAGGGATGAGCAACTATGTCTTCATCTTCTATGCTTTTGCTATTGCCACCCTCGTTCTCCTCCCTTTTGCCTTTTTCTTTCGCAGGTTAATCTCAATCAATATTCTAAAACCCTAATAATCAAATTCTCTCTCTCTCTCTCTCTCTCTCTCTCTCTCTCTATATATATATATATATATTATATGTATAACCATCTTCTTAATCTCCCCTATTGCAGGAGTCTTCAACGGTGCTTCCATCAGTCATTCCCTCTCATCTCCAGAATATTCTTGCTGGTCTTATCGGGTATTTTTCCTACAGAAATTTTCTTAATCTTTTTATAATTTGTAAGGTTAAAATGAAAGAGTTTAGTTTTGGAAGCAGGTCTTCAGCTCAGCTAATTGGCTATAAGGGAATAGCTTATAGCTCTCCGACTCTTCTTCAGCATGAGCAACCTCACTGCTGCTTCACCTTCACACTTGCTGTCATTTTCAGGTTTCATGTTTTTTTTTTCTCTCTTCAATTTAATTATTTATTAATTTTCTTGTAGTGTAGAATTACTGTTGACGAAGTGGACAAGTGTGTGATTATAATTGCTTACCACCCCTGACTAAAATATATTATTGAATAGCAAAAGTGGTTAATCTTAATTTGACTATTAAGTGGTACTTAATTTATTTAGCGATTGTAACAAGGTATATAATCTCTTGATTGTTGATCAAACAATATATTATCAGTCATGTCAAGCTAAGCCTGCATGTTAAAATGTTGAATTGCGGACAAATAAATGGTACTGATAAGTTTTCTGGATTGAAATTTTGGTTATTAAAAGCAAAAATGCCGTGATTTGTGATAAATATTGACCTAAAATCATTAACTCGATATATCAAGCTTTAAATACAAAATTAAAAAAAAAAGACGAAAATATGGTGCAATTTTTTGCATCGTATAGTTATGCTTTTGCAGCTAGCCCCATTTACCAATTTCTCTTTTCTTTTCAAGTAAAAATGAGCAACAAAGAGCCATTTTTATTTTATTTGAAAGAAGAAAAACCAGATCACAAACTTGTTACACTACTAGAAAAATGTTCTTTCTTGACAATTCAAAATTTATCATAATTCTTGATAAATTAATACATAAAATTATAGACCCTTTTAAATATACAAAATGTTAATTTCAATTAAATATTAACAACTTTAACAAACATATTATAATTAAAAATAAGACAGAGTAAGCCTCAAAAATGAAAATCCTAACGTCGCCACTCGCCTCCTTTGTCCTTTCTTGTTGCAATTGATTCCATTGTCCCTCAAAACAGTCGAACGTAATGTAAATATGCGAAGCTAAATTGAACAAGTTGAGAAAAATCTTTTTTCTAGTAGTGTGTCATGTTCTGGTGATCGAAACAGTTTTGATCTTGATTGCCCATAAGTGGATCCAGGGGTACTACTTCGAGTACTTTACTGGCGAGTCCTTTCTTCTTGGTGGCCATCTATCAATCTTTTTTCCTTATTTAAATGACCAAAAAAGGATGGAAAAAGCTATTTAAGGAAAATCACACTCAATCATAAATCATTGGCACCATAGTAATCAATATCAGGGGCACTGTGGTGGTTCTTGTAAAGGCCCAACGATTTTATCTTCATCTCGACGCATCCATTTTCACTTCAATGGTCTCTCGCCTCCTCACAATCAACTGGGTTATCGGCTGGCCTTTTGCTTGCGTTGTACTACTCCTTGTTTCCTTCTCGTTGGTACATTAGTCCACGGTACATGCTTTATATATATAAGAGTGATTACTACTTGTATTTATTGACCATGGCTTGTGTCAATTGTAACATCGATTTATATACAAATTGTACGTTTAGTATTATCATTCAGTATAAATTTCATGAACATAACAGACGGAAGTGATTAAGATGTACCCATCGGAGTTAGAAGTAGTGCTCCTCTGCAACCTGAGCTCAACCATCGTATCTGCAATAATATGTTTCATGGCAGAAACAAATTTGACTGCCTGGAGACTAAGTTATGATATAGCACTAGTTGCGATTATATACTCGGTAAGTATCTAATAGACTACAGTCTACACAAATACTGCAGACAGACTCGGTAATTTAAACCTGTAATTAGAAAATCTTGTGTATGTGATGCAGGGATTATTGGGATCATCACTGGGCAGTGTTGTTCATACATGGGGCTTGCGCATTAAGGGGCCAATATACGTTACAAGTTTCAAGCCATTGTCAATCGCCATTGTAGCTGTTATGGGCTTCATTTTCCTCGGTGATGCTCTCTATCTTGGCAGGTAATACGATTAATTAAACATCATTCTTTAGTTTAATTAATGTGGATTCATGTAAATTTGTGTTTAACTGTGGTATATAATATTTAATTGCAGCGTTGTTGGAGGAGTAATAATATGTGTAGGATTTTATGGTGTATTATGGGGAAAGGCCAGTGAAGGGAAGAATGAGGAGGACTCTAGTATTGTTGCAATTGATAGTAAGAGTAAGACCCCTCTGTTGCAGAGCATTAAAGCTGAAGAAACAAGAGAGGCCTATTAAACTACAAAAATAATATGTACAAAACTGAAAGATATAATCATGGTATTTTATGAATTAAAAAAATGCTAGGTTTCAACATTGAATTGAATATAATATAAGTATTCTTAGTTATTGTTTTCTTTATCTATTTATTAAAAGAAGTTATACATCATTTATCTATTAATCTTTTTTCTAATTTCATAGACTATTTGAAATGTTTATAAATGTATTTACTGATAATAAATCAATAGTAATATAAACATATTAATTATGTATGAAAGTTAACAATTATAATTGATTTTAACGTATTTAAATATGGACATAATAGGAGGGAAACTAATTAGTAATGAGAAGCTGATTAACATTAAAATTAAAAAGAATTTGAAGAAACTAGACTAAAGAAGCATAAGAATAAACTTAAATAAACACACTACTACATGAGGTGAGTGGGGTCAGCAGCCCCCACTCGCCTCAATGTAGGTCCGTCCGTGATTAAGGGAGAGATACTTTTCTTTTATACTTCTATGGATGCGGATGGAAAGCTAAGCTTTTCGCATAGATCAGAGAATTAAGAAGAGGAAGAAAAGGAAGATGAATAGGAGAAACCTTTTCAAGGAAATATTAATCTTCATAGCCATGGTTAGTATAGAGTGCTCCAATGTTGGCTTAAACGTAATCTACATAGCAGCCACTTTGAAAGGGATGAGTAACAATGTCTTCATCTTCTACTCTTTGTTAGAAAAACCAATCAATCAATAATAAATCAACCTTATGACTGAAATCAATCTTTATGATCGATATGCCAAAATCTTAACACACAAATTATAGAACATTGAATTAACCATTAAGAATTTAAGACAAACCAGATTAGATTATTGTTTTTGAATCTTGAGAAGCGGCGGTTTTTCCTTTCCTAGTTATAGAGAGCGTAGATCTTCTTTCCCAATAACGTACACTTTATCACGACTAACAAATGAGTTAAGTTGTGTTAATTACGTTTGAAAATGAGACCTAGCCAATTTATAGTAGTTTATTGGGCCGCCCATTAAAGGTTTAATAAACCTTGAAGCTCATTACAGCCCCAAGCCCACACTAGTCATAAAGCCCAGATTATTGATAATGGAAGTGTTATGGGCAAATTCTGAAATGGTCACTTAAGCCCATTATGATATCTCATCGAACTATATATTTGCCTAGTTTTGAAAAAATCAAAATATAATTCATGTTAGCCCATAATTAGGAAATTTTCTAACATTCTCCCACTTGGACAACATGAATTTAGTTTGTTTTTAATAAAAAAAAAATGATTTTTGACTCCTGAGCAAACAAACATTTTAATTTTAAAGTGGTCATTACTTTAAGAAAACAAATAGTCTAGAGATAACACTTCGATCAACAGTCCTGTCAATATGATTATCGATAATGAACTAAGGCAATCTTTACATTGTAATAACTGCTTCATACTAGGTTACTCATAGAAATATATAAAGTAAAATGCATTTATATTAGCAAAAGTAAATGGGCCCGAAATTTTCTTTTAATACATATAATCATTCTTTATACAAAGTAAGGTATCATTTGTAAAAGTTATCAAAAACAGTGGACAGTGTAGCTATTGCTCCTCGCTTGCCAACGCCCATCCGACCGCGTCCTCACCTAGATCCTGCAAACACAAAGATAAACAACGGGGTGAGCACAAAATAATGCTCAGTAAGTAAATCCTCTACTCGTCTATCCCCGTAACTCTTTCTCTTAATTCTTTCCTTACACTCTTCTCCTCTCATTTATTTTCTTTTTCTGTTTCTCTTTCACATAGCTCTCTTTTCTATTAACTTTCTGTTGTATGTCACAACCTCATCTTACCAGAGGCACGGCTGAGTGGAGATCACAAAGCACCCACCCACTCTTTGTGACTTCTACTCATTCTGTTCCTCTCTTCTTTCTCATATTTTCTCATTCTTTCTCACTTGAATGTCACGGCCTCATCTTACCGGAGGCACGGCCGGGTGGAGTTCACAAAGCACCAACCCACTCTTCGTGACTTCCGGGTGGAGTTCACAAAGCACCAACCCATTCTTCGTTTTTTCTCATTCTCTTTACTTTTAGAGTAGCCCATTCACAAAGTTCTCTACTCTTTCTCAAACTACTTCTCAATGCACAATTAATGCATAAGGATGGTTCATGCTTAAAGTTTCTTACTTAATGCACTTATGAAATGCACAAATGCAATATTGCATCAAGATAGTCATTCTGCACAGGTCACACTCAAGAAGACATAACTTGAGTTATACACATCGGATTGATACGGTTTTGGTCTCGTTTTAAAGCTTAGAGACAGGGCTACAACTTTTATGTTTTGGTCTAAACCCAGTTCAATCCGTAAGATGCCCAAAAATCACTTAGAAAGTCACGGCTGTGACAGGACAGTTTGGTAACATGTTTTCACTTAGGCATTTCATCAAACATTAGTTGTGCACAAACAAACCCTAATTCAATTATCATTCTATTTATTTCTCAAACCATCCAAAATGAGAGAAAAACTCTCTTGTAGCATCACATACCTACATGGCAAACACACTCCCAAAAAAATTTCTCCAATTCTTCCAATTTCAACCCATCATCAAATCATCACATATACTTCTCATATTCAAATATATCCAACAATAAGCATAATACATCATACATCTCATCTCAATTTCTCAATAATCACAACATATGCATATTTAAAATAAATCTCTACTCACTTGAATTCTTAAATTTTAGCTTGAGTTGGATTTTGAGTGGAATTTACTTACCTTGTGCTTGAGTAGTCTCTCCTAAACTCTCTACTCTTGTTGGATTCCAATCTTCTCTTAACCCTAAGCATAAACTTCATAAGAACTCAACCTTTACACAAATAAATCATAGATAAAGAGTATGAATCCTTACCTTTTGATGCCTTGAATCAAAACCCTATGAAAATCTACTCAAAAGCCCTCAAATTCCTTGGAAAAGTGAATGAAAATTTGAGAGAAAAAGGAGGAGGAGTGTGGGGGTGGTATGAACGAAATAAGGGTTTCAAACCCTTAACATTTTAGTTTATAAACTCACTTTCCCATTTTGCCCTTACTCTTTCCTAGAAATTCCATCTTTGTCCCTTAGAAAGCAATTCCATCTTTGTCCCTTAGTCAATTACCAAAATGCCTTCACTTTTATTGAATTCTCTATGATTTTCTATCTCTTTTCACTCCCCACAAAATCAACTAGTTTTGAGTGAAAAGACTATTTTACCCTTAATGCAAATTTAAGGCATTTTCTTCATATTCTCTTAAAATAATTCTAACAAAATTTAACTAAGGGCTATACAACATAATTTAAATTATGTACCTCAATGTTGGGTGTTACATACATCTTACATCGACATAAGATCAATCCATGATTACAATTACTAATAACCAAATCTCATGGATTCGTAATCTGGGAGTGTGGCAGGGATATCACTCAACAAGTGATCAAAATGAAATATGAGTTATTCCCTTGTCAGTCCTCTTTATGATCTCTATACAATCTTTATGCTTATGAGAAAAGCTAGAGAAATCTACAGCTCCCAATGAAGCTACACAACTTCCAATGAAGCTAGTATGTTTCAACCAATTATCTCGAGATACAAATATGAAACATACTTATACGACTGTCATTCTCAAGAGAAATCTTATTATTGAGACACAATGCTGTATTATGTTGTCCACCATACCATATGCGCATATGTATATATACAAACAAGTATACTTGACACAATGATCATGATCATAATACGTTAACTTAATTGACAATAAATGTTATTAAGTTAACTACTTTACAACAAACTCCCACTAACCTGACACATCAAAAGACCCTATAACGATCATGTTCAATACATGATGTTTAAAAGAAAAACAGGTTTTAGTCCTCTAGTTAAGGGGTCAGTTAACATAAATCTAGTACTAGTGTACTCTACAACAATCCTCAAATGTTAATATTAAATTGTCATATTCACTTATCATGAAAACAAAACCATATGCATTCAAAGTGACAACAAAACACTTCCATACAAGAAAACAAGCTAACAATTCATGTGAACAATGAGGTCAATAATCTTTAGTTCAGCCTATCACAATGTAAAATACACTTCACATGTATGTGACATTATATAATAACAATACAAATACAGATATGAAATCCAGTTTATTACGAATAAAAATGATATCTTGTATTAGACTGAAGAGAACTCCCACTAACCAAGTGCATCAAAACTCAAAACGCATGTTATCACATGTATATAGTAATTAACAGGTTTAACCCTTTGATTAATGAATTAGCCATAAAACCACTGTAGCATGTATTCAACCATAATCATAATTCTTGACCATATTTCTTTTAGGACATAAAATATAAACAACACTTCAAGAATTTATCCTAAATAGCCCCAAAAGTAATTTAAAAAATATACTAAAACTCATTAACATTAGGACATTTGATTTAGCCAACTCAAAATTTCTAATTACCTCTAAAGAGATTAGAAATATAGCATGTGAGCATAAAACAAATAGTCTTTAATAATAAAACTCATAAGTTTCTTTAATACCACTCAATGAACTATATCTAGTTTAAAACAAATCTATCCAATATAATCACACAAAAGAAATTAAAAAAAAATTCCTCCCACTAACCTTAAAAAACATGAGAGAGTATTGAGAGGACAAACATTTCTCTGAAAAATATACTCCTTATGTGAAGCTCATAGATAGTAATTTAGCCATAAAACAATTTAATATGCTTTTTAATCCCTTTTAGCTAAAACACTCATCTATAACCAATGAGTGTAACTTTAATAAGAGAAAACACAAGGTACCACGAACAATTACAATTCATAGAATGCAAATCAACAATAGTGCAACTATGACTTTTAGCCATCCCATTATGTTTAGGTGTACAAGGCATAACAAAACCTTTTGTAACCAACAATTTAATAAATAGTTTCATGTATGTCACAATACTTGTTACCTCAAAATTTCTTTATAGATTTTAAAAACTTCAATTAAGGCTTTAAAGAAATCCTTCAAAACTT